AGCATCCTCAGGTAGTGTAAATTGAAATTTTTTCAAATCATGACCCCCCGGTGTAGGGGGGGGGCCATAATGGATGATCAATTCTACATAGGAAAAAAATCTTTAAAAATCCTCTTCACTAGAACCACTGTATCAGGAATGATGAAACGTATGTTGAAACATCCTCAGCTAGAGTAAATTCAAGTTTGTTCAAATCATGGCCCCTGGGGTATAACGGGGCCACAATGGACGATCAAAGTACATAGGAAAATCTTAGAAATTCTTCTTTTCAAGTTCAGCAAAGCCATGATTGGTCATATTTATATGGAAGCATCTTCAGGTAGCGTAGATGCAAGTTTGTTCAAATCATGACCCCCAGGGGTAGGGGGGGGGGCACAATGGGCAATCAAAGTTTTACGAAACAGTACTGATACATAGGAAAGATCTTTAAAATTCTTCTCAAGACCAATATCGTCAAAATTGGTCATAATATTAAATAATATAAAAGCATCCTGAAGTAATTTTTTTTGTTTGTATGTTGTTTAATTTCCCTCTGGAGAATTGTTCACTCATATGGAGATGCCACCACTTGCCGGTGGAGAGCTGCAAATTTTGTCCTATACTCGGCACTTACGGCCATTGAGCAGTGAGGGGTCTTTTTCGTGCCAGCACCTACTGCGGCACAGGACCTCGGTTTATATGGTCTCATCCGAAGGACCGGTCTCCACGTCCCACTGTGGGATTCTTCGAACCCGCGATGTAAGGATCAACTCCTTACTTCGCGACTCTAGAGCAGACGCTCTAACCACTGCGCCACGCGGCTGATCCGAAGTAATGTAGATTTAATTTATTCAAATCATGACCCCCCCCCCCCACCCCCTCAGGAGAATAGAGGGGCCATAACAGGGGATCATAGTTATACAAAGGAATAAAAAGGATTTTCCTCTTAAGAACAGCAACGTTAATATGTGTCATATTAATTCAAAAGCTTCCTTAGAAAACGTAAAATTCACCCCCCCCCCTTTTATATTTAAACTTCAATACTGAACTGATTTATACTTTTTCCTACCCAAAGTGCTTTGACTTTATTTTAAGAATAAAGAATATTTGCTTAAGAGTCCTTTTGTCATGGTTCAATATTCAATTCAATCATTGAAAATATTTTGAGATGCTGGAGGATTCGAAATATCAGAAGTAAAATACTTAAAGAATACTTCCAATTTACTTCGACATATCTATGGTATTCGAGATGTCTGTGTTCGAGATGCCAAAGTTCAACTGTATGGCTATGATAAAGTAGTAAAAATTATAACTTACTAAAACTTTTTACCATTGAAACATGTTAAATGAAACAACACAAGAATGAAAAATAAAAATAAGGACATGCACATTTACTGATTTCTGGCTGGTCAGTATTTTGATGACTGTAATTTCTAAAATATTCAGTGAAACACTTTGAAGCTTTAAATGTAGGTATATGTTAACCAAATAAACTATAGGGTAATATTTATAAATGAGAAGTTTTGAACAAACATTACAACATGCAGGTATGTAAATTGGGGCTAAAATTGGTAAATGGCTATCGCCCTAACTTCCAGTGACATAAAACAAGATTTAGAATGTAGGTAAATAATACTAGTATGTGTCTGTACATACATGTATGGTATAGCATGTAAAACTTGTACTGATAGTTGATTAGCTAAATCTTGAATGGCTGTTATGTTGGTCGTTTTTGATGAAATTTAGATTATTTGGATGTAAACTGAGTGTACATGCAATATAAAATTATTCATTAGGTATTAAACATGATTAGAGCATGTGTATGCAATGCAACATATAATGAATTCATATTGACTTGTACGGATATAGCTTTACATATATATGCATTGTTTTTTTAGGGTCCTGTTCTGCAGATGCCATGAGATGATCTGTCTGTCCATTTGATATCACTTGGCCTCAGTATCTTTTCTCTTAGCCCAATCTCACTCAAATTAAATCATAGAGTGCCTGTGGATGGAGGGTAAAAAGTGACCTTGAACCAATTATCTAGGTCAAAGGTCAGTATCAAAATACACTATATATCGTTATTTAAAGTCCTTGTCCAGAGCAAAATTTTTTTTCCCTTGGTATGATCTGGTTTGTGTGCCATGGGATGAAGGGTGTGTAGTGATCTTTAACCAATTTTCTAGGTCTAATGTCAATTAATAAGAAAAAAAGATTTGTTAATATCCTTGTTCAGAGCACATTTCTCTCCAATTGACTCAACTAAAAGTAGTGTTCTATGAGATGGTCATATTCTCAATCATACCTGCTTTGATATTTATCTGGCATAAAACATTATATGTACTCATTTTCAATGTAATGTTCATTATTCTGATTTCATGGTCATTAAATTTAAAGACTGAAACTAATCACTGATATTGGTACATTAAAGGACATTGAGTGATCTAGTCTGATTTCTAAATAATGTTCAAGCATGCAATTCTTACATATAATAATTTTGTATGAAAATATATTGCAGATCGCAGATGATGTGAAGAAAATTCAAGAGAAGCTGATGTTGAAAGAAGTACTGAGTATTTAATGAAGTTTATGAATTGACTTAGGTGTGAAAGACTACTACATTGCTTACCTAAGATTTATGATTTTATTTATTTTGATATAATTTTAAAAATTGGTGCATTTGTACATCAAATGAATTATTAAACATATGATTTAATAATGCTGTTTCTTCTTTATACATTTTTTAATAGATTTTGAAAAGAAAACAGTTTACCAAGGAAAATAATAATACATATATTGATTTAAAACTGCTGTTCTCTTTTCACATTCTAGAAAAGAAAGATTTACCATGGAAATTACAAGGATCCTTGAGCTTCCAGTTGCTTGTCAATCATTTCCCAAAATTGAAATGCTCAACCCATCCTGTAGTTTCCATGGTATGGAAACCACAATTCCACATTGCTTCCCGTCTCAGAACAATAAGGGAATCTTGAAGTTTCCCTGTAATTTCCTTTTATCGGACACCAGATAATTCCACCAAGTTTCCATCATACGTAAACCGCTACGAACCAATTCCATGTAGTTTCCTGAGTCATGAAAACTTGAGGAATCATGAGGTTTCCTCTAGTTTCCGTTCAAGGGAAACCTGAGGATTCCATCCAGTTTCCCCATTCCATGGAAACCACTACGCTCCGATTCCACGTAGTTTCCTAATTATGGAAACCAGTGGAATCTTCAGGTTTCCCATTACGGGAATCTACATGGAGGCTTGGGAAACTTCAGGTTTCCCGAGGTTTCAATGGTTCGGGATACCTAATCGGAGCGTAGTAGTTTCCGTGCCACGGAAACTTGACGGAATAACCTGGCATCCGCTGCGGAAACCACTGGGAAACATGATGTAAACTTGAGGTTTACATATGTTTCCATATAGTTTCCCATGATGTGAAACTGCTTATTTCACCCAGTGCAAAATTTCTCCATAAAAGATTACAAATATACATTACTTATACTTATTTTTCCTTGAAATGAGTGTTTTCCCAGAAATAAAAAGCTTTTGAAAGAAGCCCATTTAACACAACCAAATATAGCTTTTCTTTCGAAATGCTATTTTGCATTGACCTTAAGTACCCTCTAAATAACATCAAATAATTCTGAAAGAAGGTTAAGCTTAGAAAATAAAATTCATTGACTGTTGATCACTGAATTTATATTATACCACTAGTCAAACACATGAAAGTTTCAGTAACGGGTTGCCTCTGTTAGTTGTTTTTCACATTATTTTTGGACAGCAATTCCACTCTTCGTTTCAGTGTTCCTTTGCTCAATCTCACAATTGCCTGTATATAAAACATGAATTTACAAAGTATTGATTGTTTGTGCCAAGGTTTTTAGAAATGATAAAAAATACACACTATTAATTGCTTATTTGTTTGCGGCTAAATGCATCAAAACAAATGAAAAATTCATATACAAGTACTACGTATACATGTAATAGCAAATATAACCTATCTTTGAATAGTATTTTGGTTGACGTGTTTAAAAACCAATTATGTGTTTGTTTTTATTCTTGAATATATATATGAATGCTCCATCTTCCTGATCAATACATAGGACTCACGGCAGATGTAACCTAGCTATCAACTGGGGATGATAACTCCATTAGGCATCTGATCCCACCTTTGGAATTTCAAGAGGTCTGTGTTTTAAGTCTTGTTCACAGAATTGTTTTGCTTGTAGATTTTCTGAGTTCAATCACCGTTCGTTATCTTCACCTTTTTCATTCAGCTTAATTCAAAACGACTAAAGCTTCGCGAAGTAAAATTTATAAGATTTATGAATAATTACCTTATATCTTTAAGAAGTGTCTTTTCCTCTAATAGTTCTTTGTCAAGAAAGTGTACCTTATGCTATTTCATTCAACTATCATACAAATTAACCGTAAAAACTTACATTTGACAAATCTACCCATCGACTCTGAAATTCATCATCTCCGAGATCCTTTGAAGTAGAGTGTGCCATCTTGTTTCTGTGTTTATTTATCCTCTCTACATCATCACTTATTGAAATGTGTTCAAAACCTAAATCTTTTCTCCAAATACCCGTCTGACATATGTTTGTTGTATTCCGTAAAAGTTTGTATAGAATAGTAATGTCAAAATTATTGGAACTGGGCTTTATTCCATTTTCTACAAGAGATGAAAAATCTTCTTAAGTTTTGTAGATGTACATGTAGTTCAGTTGAAATGCATACATAATTCTCAATTCGTAATGTTTCTAGAAAATTATACATAAACAAATCCCACCCGTTGAAATCTCCAATAAATTTTTGAATGTTTTTGTTTTCAGAAAAAAATAGTACTATATTTGTCACACTAAGTTTGATAAATTAAAATTCAAGTTAATTTCAAACTGTTTTAAATTTGAATCATTACTTGAATTTTGTTATCAAAGAAACATCTATCATTAGAATAGTCGTTATTTAATTTGCATTCAGTGATGTCACTGTATTTTGTGAAAAGTTGACGCGTCCAATGTTTTTGGGACAGCAGTTGACGTTGAGATTTTGATATCCAAATTAAACACTCAAGTAAGTTGTTTGTCAAAAAAAGTTAGAATTTTCAGATGGCGTAAGTGAAATAAAAAATGTATGTATAGTTTTGCAACTAAATGCAGATGTGTACAGACTGATATGCAGGGAACTTTTTTTAAATTTCAGTTGTCATTTATTGTTTGTCTACATGAGTTTTGTTTGTTGAATTTTCATCCCGACATAGACTTTAAAGATATTATTGAATATATATTATCGTTAGTTACAGAGAAGATAGTCTAAGAAAATTTATTAGACACCAACAGGATATTCAAAGAGAAGAGTGGTTGGCACAAAGAGGTATGAGTAAAAGAGGAGTTATACAATCAGAGAAACATGATAAATGCATCTGAATATTAAGTTCAATGATGCAGAATGGGAAGTACAAAATTGACAGTTATGGACGAAGATTTAAAAAAAAAATGCAAAATAACAAAAGTGAAAAATATCATCTTAGCCTTTAAGTGCACCCCTTCAAGGTGGGGCTTTGAAAATCTACGCATTATTTACTTCAGATGATGTTTAGAATATGAACAGCTAAAAAAAAAAGCTCTCCTTACACGCTACGAAGACCGTTTAAACGGAAATTCAGATCATCTAAGCCAGAAACTAGTGAAACATTTGTAAAAATTTCTGTTAGAATGAGTAGTTATTTGCTGGGTTTATCATAAAATACAAAATTAGCAGAAACTCTTGAGAAATTATTCAATTCAGCATTATATTATCAGTTCTTATAATTAATGTTCGTTACATAGATTTAACCTTGTTTTCTTTTAACGACGACGGACCTAATTCATTTCTGCAAAAGATTTTTTAATTCAAATTTTAATATGAGGTAAAGTGACTTTAAGTGAGTTAAAATAATAATAAAAAAATCATATGGTCATCAATGTATATTTTTAATGGGAAGCGATTCAAAAGTTGGCGATGGAAATCGATAATTACTATAGGAGGTAATGGGAAATTGCCAGTGTAGGGTATAAGAGTGATCAATGAAAAAATTCTGCAATAGAATTTTTATTCATATTAAAGGACAATGTTAACAAGACAATTTACCAGCACATTGTGCCAAAAAAAAAATGGGTCATCGGCTTAGATTTTTCAGGAGGGCATGTCAAACTAAGGTATAGGGCACATTTTGGGGGAAATTTTCAATGAAAGTACCTTGGCCAAATAAATCATTTATTTATAAAATCAACAAATGAATATAAATCGAAATATTTGCAATATTTTTGAATTGAGAGGAAACGTTTGAATATCTTTAAAAGAATAAAAAATGTATATTTTTTTTAATCTTTTGCAATACATAATTAAGTCAATTCGATTCAAGGCATATGCGCGGTTTTCTGCGCAGTGGCGCGAAATTTCGAATTAGGTCCGTCGTCCTTAAAAGAAGAAAATTCAGGACATAGCACAATTTGCGGACCAGTATCGACAGGCAAGAATGACCAATGTCGAAGGCACTGAATTATAATATCAGGATAAGTATTGCTCTCGAAATCGCAGAGACATTTCAAGTAAGACGAAAATACGAAATACAATAGAGAATTTTTCGCTCAAATGGAGATGTCATCATATACACATATACACATTGTACCAGTGAATCGAAGAGCTTCAAATTTTGACTGATACTCATCACTCAGGGCCTTTGAGCAGTGAGGGTTCTTTATCGTGTCAACGCCTACCTTGACACAGGACCTCGATTTTTAAGGTCTCGTCCGAAAGACACTTGCCTTTCACCCCTTATGCTGGGCTCTTGTCGACGGAACAGTCTGTATTTACGTCTTAGGTTTGACGCATTGCAGAGAACGAGAATTAAACCCGAGTATCTCGATCACGAAGGCCTTACCAAAAGGCTACCTTGACACAGTTTCGGCTGAAAGAAACTTTTTCTGAAAATTGATGACTTCTGTATTTTTTTTTCCAGAAAATTCGGGTAACAATGCACAAGTTCATGACATCACAATTATCATTTAGGTAGTCATATTAGAAAAACGATTGACTTGATTTTACAGCATAGAATTTGAACAATTCAGATAGATATAGTTTTAATTCCTCACAACAATTTCATAATTCAGGAAAGGTACAGAAAAATGTTTATTGAAACCGTACCTCTTCTTTGAATTTGAATCGTATATTAGCTTGAATAATCATAGTCATTCTTTCTTCAGAAGAACATTTTTAAAGCTAGTTCCCTACATATTCCCATGTGAAGCATCGATCCCCTATTGTGGCCTTACCCTACCTCTCCGGGTGATCTTTAAGGAAACTCTATCTGTAGTACCCTAGGATTCTTGCATATTAATATGACTAATCAAGACATAACTGTTCTAAAGAAGATTGTTTACGATTCATTGACAACATCTGTGTAGTCTATGATGATCAACATTTTTTTTCCTTCCCTTATTTTTTTAATCATGACTTTTTGATTTTTTTTTATCCCTGAGTAAGCGACAGGGCGATTCTTATTGTTCACACCATAGGTCATTTTTAGT